TGCGATTGGGCAAATTGCGACTTGTGGTCGAAGGAACGCAGCAGCGACTGTCTAATGCCAGACATGAGCTGACACATCTCACTGGTATCCAGCTCGATATGGCCATCGAGCAGCGTGCTAATCTTGGCCGGGTCAACGTGGAGCTTAACAAGATCAAGAAGATCTCATTTAAGCTGTCAATGACTATCATGGATAGTGTTGCCCGTATACGGGAGCAACTAAAGGAGAAAGACGTGGAAAATCATGATCTAGTCCAAGCATGCTATGCGTTTGCTACCGAGTTCGGCAAACGTTCTTCAAACGTTGATCCCAATAGACGCGCAATGAACAGCAATAGACTCGTCGAGTTGTCCCTCGACTGGGTTTCGTTCATCTGTGATGATTGCGATGCTGCTGACAGAAAGACCTTCAAGTGGGCCGTCGCTGCTTTGGAATTCGCAATGGCTATCACCTCCAGCAGACATCTCCTGTCTATGGATGATGCTCAGTATAGTCGTCTGAGACAAAAGGTTGCCGGATGCATGTCCCTTCTTATATCTCACTTTGATATCATGGGTGCTCGATCGTCTCGTGCAGCTCAGGCAGAAAAGCAACGCTTGGAAGAGCGCGGCGGTTCGAGACGAATGGGCGCAGGGCGGGTCCTTACAGATGAAGAGGCAGCCAAGCTTGTTCGGGAGCAGCGCGTGGCTCATCTTACCGAAATCGAGGAAAGACGTGTTGACGAAGATGCTAAACGCCAAGCACTGGGAAGGGTTCTAGAGGGCTCAAACGAAGCAGACAGGTCTCTTACGGTGCTTTCATCCTCGGCTACGAACGTTACTCTGCGATGGCAACAGGGCCAATTCATTGGTGGAGGAACATTTGGGTCCGTTTACGCTGGTATTAACCTTGACAGTAACTACCTCATGGCTGTCAAGGAGATTCGTTTGCAAGACCCCCAACTTATCCCTAAAATTGCCCAGCAAATCCGCGATGAGATGGGTGTATTGGAAGTCTTGGATCATCCTAACATCGTCTCTTACCACGGTATCGAAGTGCACCGCGATAAGGTCTACATCTTCATGGAATACTGTTCTGGTGGGTCCCTTGCCAGCTTGCTTGAGCACGGACGTGTCGAGGACGAAACCGTCATTATGGTCTATGCTCTTCAGTTGCTGGAGGGGTTGGCGTACCTGCACCAGGCTGGCATTATCCATCGCGATATCAAGCCTGAAAATATCCTGCTTGACCATAATGGTATTATCAAATACGTTGATTTCGGTGCTGCGAAGATCATCGCTCGTCAGGGCAGAACCGTTGTCCCTATGGATGCCTTCGCCGGCGCCGGTCACAAGGATGCTATAGTGCCCAAGGACGCCCAGCTGGCCCACAACAATTGGGGCAAGAACCAGAAAACAATGACCGGCACTCCGATGTACATGTCGCCCGAGGTGATTCGCGGCGATACCACAAAACTCATCCACCGCCAGGGAGCTGTCGACATCTGGTCATTAGGATGTGTGATCTTGGAAATGGCCACAGGTCGTCGTCCTTGGTCCACTCTGGACAACGAATGGGCCATCATGTACAACATTGCCCAGGGCAACCAGCCGCAATTGCCATCCCGGGACCAGCTCAGCGACCTAGGTATCGACTTCCTCCGACGATGCTTCGAGTGTGACCCCAACAAACGGTCCACTGCAGCAGAACTACTCCAGCACGATTGGATCGTCTCCATCCGTCAGCAAGTCGTCCTCGAGCCAGCCACGCCTGGCAGCGACAACAGCGGTGGTAGCTCGCACTCAGGCAGTCGCCAGAACTCTGCGTATCTATGATCATCCTGATCCTCTTCCAGCGAATTGATCTACGCTCTTCGTTTAACCTCTTAAACAACCAACCCAACCCAACATGATGTCCGCATATTGTCCTCTCATCCCACCTGATCACACCAAACCTTCGAAGCTTTTTTCGCAATTCATCTATCTCAGCCCTTCCATATTCATACACGCATAAAAATTTGCATTTGATACCCCGCCGCCAAACTTTACATTCATTCATTCTTCCCATCCACCGTCGCCGTGTTCTACATGTCATGTCATAACTAGTGTTTTGTCATGTTCAAATTTCTTTATTTCTGTTCCGCTTTTGTACTCCTCTACCTTGGGAGGTTTCCATCAATATAGCCATGTGATATACGATACGTGCTGTGTGCTGCTGTTTTTCGGGATGGGCTTAGTTTTTACATTTTTTTTTCAGTTACCAATTATGATAGTAGTTAGTGCTCGGGAAAACGAAAGAGTATTTATCTAGTATCACTTAACGGTGTCGTCCTCTTTATGTTATGTTATGTTCAGTGCTCTTTAATTAGAGTAGTAGTTAGTATCATGGTAGTGGTGGGATTTTAAGTTGTTCATCAGGAAGGCTATTACGGAGGGAGTATCAATGATACGATCATGATTACTGCTGTATTCTAGGACCTACTTGCTGGAGTTGTTTTTAAGTCTTCAGTGACAGAGCATCCGGTCCGCGTTAACTAGAAACGCAGAATGCGTAGCACAGCCAAGAACACTTATACTTGGAACGTAATAGTGGAATAGTAAATCATTGAATAGATGGATAGATAGTAATATATATTCCTCACTCAGACAGGCAAGAAAAGAAGAAATCGTCCCTTGGACAAAAAGGGGACCAACGCTACCGCTATCAGATATAAAAAAGAACCGGTCATAATTGAGAGAAGAAGCAACTGATTCACAAGGGAACAAAAAGCAGACATCAAGGAGTGAAGTAGTCCCGATACCGCTGCCTAGTTATCAACTAGTAGTCTTCCCTGTCAAGGGAGAAGACGTTACATTGTGTTGTGTGCTGCGCTGCGTCATATTGAAAGAGATGAAGAAGTGCGAGGATATAATTGGCCAATAGTGTTCCGTTCCATACCATATCGTATCAACCAAGCCTGCGCCGATAGAAGAGAGAAGAAGACAAGTCGGAAGAAAATTCGTCAAGAGACATCAGTCAAAACAGAGCGGGGTAATAGTAACTCCGACAGTATAACCGTAACAGATCAGCCATCGCGGCTGGGAGGCTCAGAAGTGAACGTAACCATTTAATAGCCATTAATTGTAGAAGCATGCGAAACCGTAGGTGATGATAAATGAATTCCTTTTGCAGTGGTCGAACCGACCACTGGACAAGCCTGCAAGAAGATCAACGGAACTCCATGGCTGGCGCACAACCATAGTCTTTGACATGTCTGAGCTCGAGTTGTTGATACCTAGCAATAAGAGTCAGTCTTGGTTGTCACAAATACCACTGGGGTAAGGCAGAACATACTTTTCGCTCTTGGCGTGAAAGTAGATCCCAGCAACCGTTCCCTCCACCTGATTAAAGCAAATGTAATAGAAGCCTTCGAAGCTAGCTCCGGAGATCGACCTCACGCGATGATCAGGAACGAGGAAGTACTCCTTCCAACGCATGAAAAGGTGCTCACGCTGGGCAAAATTTCGAAATGTGAAATCCGGTTTCTTCGCCTGTTTCGCCTGCGATCGCCAAGCGGGAAACCTTCCCCAATGTTGCATGTCAGTCTTTTCGGTCGCGCCCCATGCTTCGTTTCTAGTTTTGAATGTGTGCTTGGTTCCAATGATCTCGCCTTCAAAGAACGTTGTTAAAGTAGGGTGATCCTCGGTGAGACCTGATGCGAAAAGGTTAGAATTGGATATGGTGGGCTGGTGTAAGCGCTCACGGACCTTGTATGCGGAGGTATCCACAAAGATAAGATTCAAGCATATCAACGTGCTTAATCTCCACATCAACGCTGTAGACATGGCTGTCTGACTGCTGTGTACCAGTAAATCTACTTCCCGGTCGCAGAAAAGACGACGAATAATTGGGTAAAAGCTGTTACAGTCAGCAAGGGAGACCTAGAGAACGAAGGGATAAAGTAGGCCATCATACCCGAATGTTAGAAAATTCATAGCTTAGCAGAGAAGTAGCTGATGAAGGGGTGACTGGAGATACCGGGCCGGAGGAGCAGGATGACTCCGCAGCAGGGCTCAGTCTCCCCGCAGCAGGTTCGTCTTCCGATCTCCCCACGCCCTTCGTGGGCGCTCTGGCTACTGGCTCGCCCGTCACGGGGTCCGCATCGGTGGAAGTAAAGGAAGTTCCATCTGATGGTGTTAAGGCGGTATGGTTTGATGGACCGGTTGGCGAGAAGGTGTTGTCGGGAGCATCATCGCTGGTGTTTCTCCTCTCCCACGCCGACACCCAGGGATACGGCCTTTCTTCTCTGGTATGTAGACTCTCTCTATCAATCTCCGGTGGACAGGTAGAGCGAGCGGAGATTTCTTCTGCGATTGAAGCATTCAAGGGCGGGGTGTTATCACTCGGAGTCGGCATTGGAGGCTAATTAAGGAAGGAATAACATCGGAATGAATAAGATTGCAAATTCCCACCGATAGGGCGAGGAGTGAAACAAGATCAGGCGGAACAAACAAGCCTGATACAAGCACAGTAAGGGCAGCTCAAGGATAGGGGTGATTTATTGGACCGGAGGGGAGGGTGGGCGAACTAAGATGGGAACGGGGGGAGGACGACAGCGGGATCGGGGTGGCAAATAGAGAGTTAGGGCGCAGACAGCGGAAAGAAGCAAAGTTTAGAGAGAGAAGTAAGGAAAGCAGAGGAGAAAGAGGAGAAGTCGGGGATGAAGGGAGCAGGCAAAGGAAAGAATAGAGGATGGACGAAGAGAGGATCGTTTAGTTTGGTGGTCAGTCTGGGGCGAGGCACTGCCCAAAGAGGAATCGACCGACTGATCATGCGAGCGCGGGGGAGGCAAATGGGGCAAACGGCGCCTCGGGCGGTTATTCGAGCATTTCTGGCATTTTGCAGCCTTTGCACGTCTGGCACGGCCTCCCTTGCAGCTTTTTCTTTTCTGACGCTCGTCCCGAAGGACGTGGCCCGCTACAATAATATTCCCCATTATGCAATGGCTCTCTGCCTCGCTGTTTTGATTTCCGTTTTCGGCGCTTTTTTTTACACATCAAACACTTCACACACACATACCCTCATCCACATCCACATCCACACACGTCGTTGGGTATTCCAATTCTTCCGCTACGTTGGCCTCAGTGGCAAGCTCCCATTGCGTCATCGCTTTCGGTGAGTCGCTTTGCCATCGGGCCTCATTTCAAGCAACCCAAATCTGCCAGACAAATTTTTGGGGAAATATGGAAGAGGAAAGGTAAAAAAAGAAAAAGTAGCACTAGTAGTATACCCGCCACGGCTGCAATCAAATAGAAAACGCCTATTATTCATCCCAGAAAGTGAACCATTCCATTTCATGTTTCCACAACCATCACCATTTAGATAGGTTTGATCTATTACCGAATTAGACTCGATACTTTCAAAGTAAAAAGAAACAACGAAGCCGTATTTACCTTGAAATGGAGCGAAATAAGCGAGAAGATGAGGGCCTTCAGGTCCTGGACGAGATAGTAGAACACTCGCAAGCCTTCCGGGTCCGCAGATTCAGTCACATCCACCAATGAGCCGATTTTCGCAGTCTACATTAGATGTCAGGTTTCCCATCTGTTATCAGCTATGTCAATAACGCAGTAGACATACCTCAAAGGAGATATGCTCATTCCCAAGCCGAATCTCAAGTTCCTGACGTCCATCCTTATTCTTCTGGGGCCATTTGGAGTCATCCTCCCTGCGTCGCATTAGCATCTTTGTACCCCTCCAGTCGCCATTGAACCTCACTGCTTGACTCACTTCATGATCTCACTCTCCTTGATAATGCGCTTCACCTCCTGAATCATCGCTGCGCTCACGCACACTGTAGTGATCGCCCATTAGCGACCGATGTAGAACCGGACGGCCCTTTCCTAGCACTCACTTTCTTTCCGAATCAAAGAATCATTGCGGTAGTTGGAGTTGTTCGCATATCGCACGGCAGCACTGCGGCCATCGCCAAGGGTACGGAAGTCGAATTCTTTAAGGGCTGTTAATAGGAAAGCTCGAAATGTAGACCATCGCGGGGAACCTACCTAGAAACTCATGTCCGAACCGCCCAGAGTGACCTGAGCTGCGGAACTGTCAGCAGCTGAGGAAACCTGGGCCACACACAGATCATCCTTACTAGTAACGGAGGTAGAATGGTTCGTTTTGGGTTGACATCTTTCGTAAACCTCAACCGACAACGTCTGGGATTTGACACGACAAAAGGTAGCTGGGAATGAACGCTTCGTAGCGCGTGCCTGGATGGAATTGCCTGGTTTGCAGGGTTGGTCCAGGCGGGGCTTAGTCATCCACACACTCCGGACAGCTTGCTCCGCCGCGCAAATGGCCAGGTTGATACTCAATGTCCCCGGATTGTCAACATTCGCTCTGATGAATGCTAGGCAGGTGAGGGGAGACAATTTACACTAAACTAATTTCCTCTACCATTATCGAATTCTTTTGGGGAGAGTCGTTCCAGTCCGTCTTCCCATCCTTCCCCCCTGACCGGCCCAAACAACCACCTGTACTGATGACCGCTTCCAGCTCTCCTCCCTCCTGAACCCTTCCCTGTACCGGCCATTCGTTCGCACCGCTCGATCACCATGGCGTCCTTCCTCGAAAATGCATACAGCTTGGTCCATCTGGACAACACTGCTGATCAGCCCTCTCTGCAGGAGCTGAAGCTGCAGTTGGAGAAGGGTACCGATGAGACCAAGATGGAGACAATGAGGCGGATCATCACAATCATGCTCAATGGCGACCCTATGCCCCAACTGCTCATGCACATCATTCGCTTTGTCATGCCGTCTAAAAGCAAGCCCCTCAAGAAACTCCTATACTTCTACTATGAGATCTGTCCGAAACTCGACTCGAATGGCAAGCTGAAGCAAGAGATGATCCTGGTCTGGTAAGGCACCTGGCGCATCCCGACATTGTAGGCCATGCCTTCTAACAAACGATCTTTTTGCGCAGTAACGGTATCCGTAACGATCTTCAGCACCCCAACGAATACGTCCGAGGAAACACCCTGCGATTCTTGTGCAAGCTCCGAGAACCGGAACTCATTGAACCCCTCCTCTCGTCCGCACGCTCCTGCTTGGATCACCGCCACGCCTATGTTCGGAAGAACGCCGTGTGGGCTGTCGCTTCTATCTTCCAGCACTCGGAGTCGCTCATCCCAGATGCTCCGGAGCTTATCCAGGCGTTCCTCGATACGGAGACCGACGGAACCTGCAAGCGCAATGCATTCGCAGCCCTCATGTCCATCAGCCACCAAAAAGCCCTGGAGTACCTGGCCTCTACCTTCGACAGCATCCCGAACACGGACGAACTACTCCAATTGGCTGAGCTTGAGTTCATCAGAAAGGATGCTGTGCAAAACACTCAGAACAAGGTGGGCTTCCGGAGATCAACCCCGTTGCAGTCGGTTGCTAATTACCAGTAGGCACGGTATCTGCGGCTGATTTTCGACCTTCTCGATGCGTCGACGAGTACTGTCATCTACGAAGCTGCCACTTCTCTTACGGCACTCACCAGCAACCCCGTCGCCGTGAAGGCCGCGGCAAGCAAGTTGATCGAACTCTGCATCAAAGAAGCTGACAACAATGTCAAGCTGATCGTCCTTGACCGGGTCGACCAGCTACGCATCCGCAACGAGGGTGTTCTTGATGACCTTACTATGGAGATTCTCCGCGTCCTTTCTTCCCCGGATATCGATGTTCGTCGGAAAGCCCTCAGCATTGCCTTGGAGATGGTCTCGAGCAAGAATGTCGAAGAGATTGTCATGCTGCTCAAGAAGGAACTGGCCAAGACTGTTGATGAACAATATGAAAAGGTAGGCTTGCACGTTCTGCTCTGATACACAGAAATACTAACAACCTTGTAGAACAGCGAATACCGTCAATTGTTGATCCAGTCGATACATAACTGCGCCATTAAGTTCTCGGAGATCGCAGCTAGCGTTGTCGATCTTCTGATGGACTTCATCGCTGATTTCAACAACAACTCCGCCGTCGATGTGATCTCGTTTGTCAAGGAGGTCGTGGAGAAGTTCCCCGCGCTCAGAACTTCTATTGTTGATCGCCTGGTTTCTACTTTGAGTGAAGTCCGTGCCGGCAAAGTCTACCGGGGTGTCCTGTGGGTTGTCGGAGAGTACTCTCTGGAGGAGAGAGATATCCGCGAAGCCTGGAAGCGGATCAGGGCCAGTCTCGGCGAAATTCCCATCCTCGCCTCGGAACAACGACTTCTTGATGAAGTGCCTGAGGATGCGGCGCTCAAGGAGCAGGTCAACGGCCACTCCAAGCCGTCAGCCCCGACCGGATCACGGAAGGTGCTGGCCGATGGCACCTATGCCACTGAGAGTGCTCTGACCAGCCAGTCTGCTGCGGCTGCTCGGCTTGAGGCTGTCAAGGCCGCCCAGAAGCCCCCTCTTCGTCAACTGATCTTGGATGGCGACTACTACCTTGCTACTGTCCTTTCGTCCACCCTCACTAAGTTGGTGATGCGCCATTCGGAGGTTTCCGAAGATGTTGCTCGGACCAACGCCCTGCGTGCCGAGGCTATGCTCATCATGATCTCCATCATCCGTGTTGGCCAGTCGCACTTCGTCAAGGCCCCCATCGATGAAGACTCCGTGGATCGCGTCATGTGCTGTGTGCGCTCGCTTGCAGAGTTCTCTCAGAAGAAGGAATTGGAGACTACCTTCCTGGAAGACACCCGGAAAGCCTTCCGCGCCATGGTTCAGGTCGAAGACAAGAAGAGGGCCGCTAAGGAGGCCGTTGAGAAGGCTAAGACTGCCGTCCAGGTTGACGATGCCATTCCCATCCGGCAATTCACCAAGAAGGCAGCTCTTGAAGGTGCTGAGGAGATTGAGCTGGATCTGGCCAAGGCCACTGGCGGTGACTCAACTGTGGAGACGGTGTCCTCGAAGCTGAGCCGTGTTGTGCAACTCACTGGTTTCTCGGACCCGGTATACGCCGAGGCTTATGTCACGGTTCACCAGTTCGATATCGTTCTGGATGTCCTTCTGGTCAACCAGACCCTTGAGACCCTACAGAACCTGAGCGTTGAATTTGCGACTCTCGGAGACCTTAAGGTGGTGGAGCGGCCCACGACGCACAACCTTGGACCTCGCGATTTCTTGAATGTGCAGGCTACAGTCAAGGTGTCGTCGACGGACACGGGTGTGATCTTCGGTAACATTGTGTACGATGGGGCGAGCTCGACGGAGTCGCATGTTGTTATCCTGAATGACATCCATGCCGACATCATGGACTACATCCAACCGGCACACTGCACTGAGACGCAGTTCCGGACCATGTGGACCGAGTTTGAATGGGAGAACAAGGTTAACATCAACTCCAAGGCGAAGAACCTCCGCGAGTTCCTCAAGCAGCTTATGGAGAGCACCAACATGGCATGCTTGACACCTGAAGCGTCTCTCAAGGGCGACTGTCGGTTCCTGAGTGCCAATCTATATGCCCGGAGCGTATTTGGTAAGTACTAGATCTCCATACTGCGACATTCGGTCCACAACTGCCTATTGGATAGCCGCTAACATGACTTTCACAGGTGAGGATGCCCTTGCGAACTTGAGCATCGAGAAGGAGGGAGATGACGGGCCGATCACCGGCTTTGTACGGATAAGAAGCCGTTCTCAGGGTCTGGCCTTGAGCCTGGGGTCTTTGAAGGGCCTGAAGGCGTCTACAGCATGAATAGAGAATCTCCTTTGAGCCGTATTTGAATAGCCACTACCCTTGTTACCTACTACATGACTCTTCTGTTCGATTTTTCGACTGCGTTATTTTTTCTTTTATTTTAACTCTTCTGTGTTCTTCTTAATGGACGAATTTGTTGACTATATGCACCTTTTACTCTGTTTATTCTGGATGAGAAAAGACTTTTTTATCTCTCAATGGAATGCCCCATTTGAATGACTCTATTTTATATTTTTATTGGATGTATGTGTGTATGTATATACCACCATGGCCAGCTATGTTTACAGTAGGAGGAAGGGATGTTTCTTGGAAGCCGTCATAGACTTTCCCAAGCTCACCTGTACCACGTTGATTAAGCACGATGCATCCCATCCCCGCACACCCCGCAGGTGATGCCTCGGAACTGTTGCTGCAACTGTCAGACTCCGGATGTCACGGAGGCCATTATTCCGAGCAACATCGGCTTTATTTAGACGAATGTATAAGAGTGGCGAGAGTCCTTCGAGGATCAAATCAGACCCCAAATTAGTTGTAAATATGCGCGCGGAAGGGACTGGGCGCGTGCCTTAGATAAGGACGGATGCTTGCGGCGATCTCGGCAGTGCCTGCAGTGGCAGGTTCCCTAAAGAATGACCGGAAACCCACCAGATCCAGGCATGCATTATGTATGGGTTGGACTCAAAAAGAAAAGGTGTTCCTGTCATGGCATGATGAGGTGCAAGTCATTGTCCTGAGAGCCTATCAATTTTTCACAGGGCAGACAAGTGGAGTGGAAAAGAAGTGGAGCCCGCCATAAAAGTTGGACTGCCGATAATTGATTATCGAATAATATGAATGGATGGTTCAGTGGTTCTCCGAGTCTCCGGTCTCTCTTCTCCGCTCCATCCTGAGACTTGCCCGTTTCATTCCCCCCAACACCTTCCTTCTCCTCGTCTCAAACTCTTTCGTTTCCTTCGTCTTTCTCTTATTATTATTCTTATGGTTATTCTTACTGACCACATTCCACTTCTACGCATCTATCTTTTCTCATCTTTAAGTACGGTCGGCTCTTCTCATTCACGCTGTGCCCTCCGCCGGGCACTATGACCACCACCTCCAACGGGCCTCCTCGCCCGTCCTTTAACAACGCGGATCACCCGGAAACTCGGGATCAGCTGCTTGAACATGATGCGACTCTGATAGTCTCCAACTCGGTCTCTCTTACTATTGGAGGCGACTCTCTTTTGATTGTCGGTAGGTTTCAGTGCGCAATTGCTTCTTTCAAGTCCTTTTTACCAAATTTCCGTGTTAACGAAACACCGGCAATTCGCGCAGATGAACGTTCCATGCGCAAATCCGAGCGTGGGTGTTGCGGCATCGCCAGCAAAACAGCCAAACCCACGCACTCCATTGCACTTTACAATGTCTTGGACGCCGACCTGTCGCCCGAGGGCCTCACTATCACTTATGCGGAGCCGGCCTCCAAAGAGGATGTCTCGGTGTCCGCCCTGCGCTACCCGTTCGCACCCGAAGAAAAGGCTGCGGTAGAATCCTGGACGAACAAACTCTTGTCCGTTGCGTATGGCACCGCCAAACGGTACAAGAGACTCAAGGTTTTGGTCAACCCGTTCGGTGGTCAAGGCCACGCGGTCAAATTGTACACCTCGTATGCAGCTCCCGTCTTTGCTGCAGCCCGCTGCCAAGTGGACGTGCAGGAAACAACGCATGGAGGCCACGCCGTCGAAATTGTGGAGCAACTGGATATCAATGCATATGACGCCATCATTTGCTGCTCCGGGGATGGTTTGCCGTACGAGGTCTTCAACGGCCTTGCGAAGAAACCTAATGCCGGTGAAGCTTTAGCTAAAGTTGCCGTTGCAATGGTGCCTTGTGGGTCCGGAAACGCAATGGCCTGGAATCTTTGCGGAACGGGCAGTGTCTCAGTGGCGGCTTTGGCCATTGTTAAGGGTGTTCGGACGCCTATGGATCTGGTTTCAATTACGCAGGGGCAGACTCGCACGCTGTCCTTCCTGTCACAATCCTTCGGTATCATCGCGGAATCCGACCTCGGCACGGATGATATTCGATGGATGGGCGCTCACCGTTTCACCTACGGATTTCTCAAGCGCATCATGCGCCGCGCAGTGTATCCGTGCGATCTGGCAATCAAGACCGTGATGGATGATAAACAAGCGATCAAAGATCACTACAGTGCTTACGCGCAGAGCCAGCCTCCTAGTCGTCCGGATGAGGGTACTGCAGAACAGCCAACCGGGCTTCCCGAGCTCGCGTACGGCACCGTGCTGGACGAGCTGCCCAAGGACTGGGAAGTCATTCCAGCTGAGAATCTCGGTAACTTCTACGCGGGCAAAATGGCCATCGTGTCCAAGGATACGAACTTCTTTCCCGCCTCTTTGCCCAACGATGGTCTGATGGATATCGTCACCATCGACGGGACTCTTAGTCGTCTGACCACGCTCAAAATGATGACCGCCATCCCCGAAGGCTCATTCTTCGATATGCCCGACGTCAAAATCCGCAAGGCTCTTGCGTATCGGCTTGTTCCCCACGAAAAGAAAGGCTACATTAGCATTGACGGAGAAAGCATTCCTTTTGAAGCTTTCCAAGTAGAAATCCACAAGGGCTTGGGCACTGTGCTGTCGAGGTCGGGACACCTTTACGAAGCCGAAGGACCCAAACCTTGAATGTTGGGGATGATACAAGCGGTAAAAGTAGCGGGTGGTACTTTGGATGTCATCGTTTCTTTTCTCTTCATTCTGGTCTTCGCACTCTAATGATACCCTGGCGCAAGACTTTTTGTTTTGGCTTGCTTGCTTACTCTCGTTTCAATTGGGTCATGCTTTCTGTATACTAGACAGCAGTGCAACCAAGATGGTTGCATAACCCATAGAGTCATACTATAAATATACATTGTTTCATTCATATGAACAGCATACGCACGCTGCCGTCCAATTCACAATTCTATACACCAGTTTTGATCAAACAGAAAAAATATAAGAGCCATTAGAATTTATACACATAGATATGAATGAACACTTCAATCAAACCCATCCCACTCCTCATCACTACTCTCCTCCACCACCTTCCTTTCCTTAACCCCCCACTCAACCAACCGCTCATCATCCAACGTCTCCGCAGCCCGAGTCCGCACAGGTTTATATCCACTCTCCTTCTTCAACTTCTCAATCGGCCTCAACAAAAGCTCCATCGGCACTCCGCCCTTGATCTTCTTCGTCTGTTGCCCTTCTTCCGCCCCTTCAATCTCCTCAAACTCCAACACCTTCTCCAACTCATCAATCCACACATCCATCACATGGTACCGCAATCCGTCGGGTCCGTGCGGCATCGGCACGTAATCCTCCTTCTCGTTCATGGGCGGTTGATCCGGGTCGAAGTTCAATGGGCACAGGGGGCCTTCTTCGATGATGTTGATGTAGGATTCCAGGGCGGTCCAGTCTTGGGGTTCAGTTGATGATGTGGATTCTTCGGATTGTTGCTGTTGTTGTTGTTTCTTGTTCTTGTTGTTCTTCTTGTTCCGCTTCGAGGATGTAGGCTCGTCTTCTCTTTTGCGCTTGCCGCCGTTTGCTGTCGCTGTGGAGGATGTGGATTGGGGCTTGAGGAGCACCTCGAATGCAACGCCCACGTAGCAACGGATCAGGAATAGGTATTTGTCTAGACGGAGACGGTCGAGCGAGTGGAAGTCCCGGCCGATGGTTATCCAGAACGCGCGGAGGAAGCGGTGCAAGGTGCTCCGGGGGAGGGTTGGGACGAGGCTGTAGCTGAGAGTGCGCGCGAGGGCTTGTTGCGTTAGGGGACGGTCGGAGTGGTAGAAGCCTGTGATTTGGTGGTGGTTAGTTGGGGTGTGTGGGAGAGGGTGGGTTGAGGAAGGGGGCGTGGCGTACAGAAGAATAGACCCTTCCACAGTTTGAGGAGGTCGATGAGGGAGAGGTCGGTTTTGCTGCGGAGGAAGAGTGTGAGGGAGTCGGTGGCTTTGTCGCGGATTTTCTTGTCTGAGTTTTTATCTTCGTTAGAATTGGTTTTCTGGAGGGATAGAAGGGAGGGATTGGAGTGAGGTGTATGTACCGCTCGAGGCGAGATCCCGTACGAAGGGAGTCTTGGTCACGTCGGACATGGTTGTGGTTGTTCTTGTTGGTGGTGGTTCCAAGTCAGGAATGAATTGTTCGAGAGCGGTAGACAAAAGGGATGGGCCACTGGGCTTATGATGTTCGCAGGAGCGAGGCGATTGATGTGCCTGCGCTTTTCAGAGTGTGGGTTTCCTTGGTGGTCTCTGGACAATGGTGGTTTTGCAAAAGTCCTTGAGATTGATGAAGCTATTCGTAACTTTTTTTTTTCTTTTTTGGAGATATTTTCTGTTTGCATTGTTTGATTTGGAGTGTGGCTTGATTGGTTGCTTGTTTTTGGATGCCGGTTGTGGTGGGGCTGGTGTGGGGAAAGCGATGGACTATTGTTGATCGGGTTAGCAAATCATCTACTATCTATGTAGATATCATGGTGACTTTGGGATGGGGTATATATGCGTGTAAAGAAGGGAGGAAGGGATGGATACAGTGTCTATAAAGAGGATCTAGATGGTTATTTTGTAGAATATATGGCTCTTGCTCAGTTGAAGAGCGTTCCTGCCTATATTAGTATCATATCGATGTTCGCTCTTTCCATTTGTCAGTCCTGAGAGGAAGGCCCATCTTCTCTCTTGTCTTCTTCCCTTCCCTTCCCTTCTCATCTCCTCTTCCTCTTCAACTAAACGCTTCAATTCGACTCTTCAACTCGACACTTCATTAATCTGTTGGTATGTACAGCCTGATTATCACTGAGCTGAGGTCTTGGTCTTGTTATCAAGTCATAGTTCTAACTTGCTATAGAACCACCACCACCATCATCGACGACGACGACGACGACGACGACGACGACGACAATAACAACAACAACCTCATCACTACCGCCATCACCGTCACCGTCACCACCGTCAGTCACCATCGACGACGACGACAACAACAACTACGGTAACAAAGGCACAAGCTTGTTGAGTATCTGCTACTCCTCGTTTCTGTCAGTCACTGATGTTTTACAGGTCATCCATTTATAGCTATTTGCTAGCGAGAAAGTCACTGACGACACGATAGTTACGACCTGGGTGATCACCCATATCGATTTGGACCCGCAGCATCGGAGAGCCTTGCTGCTGCGAAGTGCATCCCACTGTGGTTGCAAAACTACTCAGCAACGAGGCCATTGCTGTGCCAGAGTGGTGCACTGGGCTGGGCTGGGCTCACGCTCGTCTCCTTGCCCCCCAGGCGGTCCTTTATAACGCCGACATTGCCAGAGGCGCTGACTACTGGCCCGGGCTCAGGCTTGGGCCAATTCTGTGGTCAAGCGTCTCTGTAGATTTTGATAGCTTTAGATAGCTCGTCCCTTTAGCTAGCTTGTATCTTTGGGTAGCTTGTATCTTTAGATAGTTTGTATCTTTAGCTAGTTTGTATCTTTAGATAGTTGTATCTTTAGATAGTTGTATCTTTAGCTAGTTTGTATCTTTAGCTAGTTGTATCCTTAGGTAGTTTGTATCTTTAGCTAGTTGTATCTTTAGATAGGTCGATAGCTTAGATAGGCCGATGAAACTATCTCAGAATAGTGGAGGCACCAGAACGATGGCCGGGCACCTTTACGCGGTGTTCTGGATAAGTAGGCCGGTTCGAAAGAACCTGCTGAAACTAAGACCCGGCCACTTAGCGTAGTTTGGTCCATTCGGTAATGGGCTGCAGGCACGTAATGGTCGGTTATATGATTGTCTGGCATTATTTTTAGTGTTTTGAATTATTCGCATTGTATGCCACTCTGATTATTCTTGCCCGCCTATTCCGGTAACATCTAGCCTTTCATTGGAGATTATTGGTAGATCATCAACCCCAGACCTGCAGTGGTCGAGAATCCTGCACCTTAGGATCTGATGTCCGACAATTGGAACTTAGGCTTTTCGGATTATATTGTTTAAGCTACAGTTCCTGCGCATAAACTTTCAATACAAATAGTATGCTCGATGCAAACCCAATGCGTGGAGGAAAAAAAAAGAAAACCACGCATCTTCCGCATCCGGACAGTCACATCCCAGCCCCTCCAGGGACGGAACCACAGCTCAACTTCCAATTAGCAGCTCCCCCAGCTCTTCCCTTGCTGTTGTTTGCTCCACTGATTGACTTGAGGGCGCCGGACAGCAGCATCATTGGGAAATCAATGGCTCCCCCGGTCTCCCGTCGTTACACGGAAGGTTACGGGTGACATCATCACTTGCAACGTGCACAAATGGAAACGTCGAGCGTCCTGAATCTTATTTGCATCCCCCAAACTCTTTGTCAGTGAATGATGTCGGCAAAGCGAAGATCCGTCTTCAATTGAGGGAAACTGGCCATGGGAGGAAGGCACGCGCTACCCCAAATCCTGACAGGCTATTTGCTCACCTGGACTTCCTGAAATCTTTCACCACCCCCTTTGGTGCTCTTAAGGCCAATCCTTCTTCACCAGCTTCTGCTCTCTTGTGTCTTTTACGGTGGGCTCTACCCTTGTGTCCTGCTCTAGCCTGCCAACAATCTCGTCTTCAAAGATGGCGCAGCTTGAGGAGCCCGACGAGAGCTCGCAGCCCAGCTCCTCGAAGCATGAGGAATTGGCTTCTGGGCCGAGCAACTCTCAAAGACCACCGCGATTGACGCGCAATGAAAGCTCATTTATGGAGAATATGGATCCTGAGCAAAAGGCTGAATTGACCCGCTTGGCTTCCAATTTTCCAAGGCGTCAGAGCACTCTCGATTCGACTGTCGATGGACCGGTTGAACGAAAGGACACCCTCGAAGGACTGGAAATGGGCGACCCAGTCCTTGATCCCACAAATGACCAGTTCGATCACTACAAATGGGTTCGCATGGTGCTGAAGATACTGGACAGGGAGGGAATTCCTCGGCCTCCTTCAACTGGTGTCGTCTTCCAACATCTTAATGTCTCGGGCTCAGGTTCCGCCCTACAATACCAGAACAACGTGTCTTCAATTCTTCTCGCCCCTTTCAGGCCACAGGAATATCTGCCTTGTGTGCAGCGCACTCCGGAGAAGCATATCCTGCGTGATTTCGATGGCCTCCTCAGAAGTGGTGAGCTTTTGATTGTTCTGGGACGCCCTGGGAGTGGCTGTTCAACTTTCTTGAAGTCTTTATGTGGGGAACTTCATGGCCTGAAGCTCCGCAAAAGCTCTGAAATCCAGTTCAATGGCATCTCCATGGAGAAGATGCACAAAGAATTCAAAGGCGAGGTGCTATACAATCAAGAGGTGGATAAGCATTTCCCGCATCTCACTGTCGGTCAAACGTTGGAATTTGCCGCCGCTGCGAGAGCGCCCGAGAACCGAGTGCAAGGCGTTACTCGACAGCAGTATGCTAAATACGTTACCCAGGTCGCGCTGACTATCTTTGGCCTGTCACATACGTATAACACAAAGGGTGCGTCTCTATTGTCGAATGGCAAGCCGTTAAATGTTCATTGTATACCTAATGCTACCTCCAGTTGGCGATGACTATATCAGGGGTGTATCAGGAGGCGAACGAAAGCGAGTTAGGTATGTTTTATCCCGGATCTGTCTTCTCGAATTGACCTAACCTGTATGTAGTATTGCTGAGATGGCGCGTGAGTCACCATGCCACTACAAGAGTATAGCTAGCGGTTCAGTTGACATGCTTCACAGTCTCCGGAGCACCTGTTGGGGCATGGGATAATAGTACTAGGGGCCTCGATTCTGCAAGTGCTCTGGAATTCGTCAAGGCTCTACGTGTTTCGGCCAACTTAGCCGGTACCTGCCATGCAGTTGCGATATATCAAGCATCCCAAGCAATATACGATGTGTTTGACAAGGCAATCGTTCTGTATGAGGGTCGCGAGATATACTTCGGTCCATGCGACGAGGCAAGGGAATATTTCGAGAACATGGGGTGGCTTTGCCCGCCGCGCCAGACAACTGGTGACTTCCTGACATCAGTCACTAACCCTCAAGAGCGTCAAGCACGCGAAGGAATGGAGAACAAGGTTCCTCGGACACCAGATGACTTCGAAAAGTACTGGAAGAACAGCCCTCAGTATGCCAGGCTTCAGCAGGAAATCGAACAGCACATGAAGGAGTTTCCGTTAGGTGGAAAGCATGAGCAACAGTTTGGTGAAATGAAGCGCCTGAAACAAGCGCGACACGTTTGGTCAAAGAGTCCCTATATAATTTCGATTCCCATGCAGGTAAAGCTTTGTACCATTAGGGCGTATCAAAGGTAATTGCTGCTACATCTCGTTTGTCTGTGAAGGAACTTCTGACCCTTATAGGATCTGGAATGATAAGCCTTCCACACTGACAAACGTCATTGGAAGAATAGCCATGTCTCTCATCATTGGCTCAATGTATTTTGGGTAAGATTTTTTTTTTTTTTTTTTTTCATTCTCTGCGGTTCGAACGTACGCTAAGACATCCAGGACACCAAATGCCACTGTGGGCTTTCAAAGCAAAGGAGCTGCTCTTTTCTTCGCTGTGCTGTATGTTACCCAGAATGACGTGAATAAGTTCTTCTCCCAGACGGCGACTATCGTACAATCAGAGGATGGGTTGGAGAATATGCTAGCTGACTGCATCTCAGGATGAACGCTCTCATCAGCATAACAGAGATAAACTCGCTTTACGACCAACGGCCTATCATTGAAAAACAAGCATCATACGCTTTTGTCCATCCTTTTGCTGAAGCCTTTGGTGGCATTGTGTCCGATATACCCGTTAAATTCGTCTCTGCCGTGGTTTTCAACATCATCTTTTACTTCCTAGCTGGCTTGGTAAGTACATACAATGACTCGGGTGGACGTGGGCACAATATTGACTATGAAGATAGCGTTACGAACCATCCCAGTTCTTCATATTCTTCCTATTTACTTTCCTAAGCACACTTGCGATGTCTGGCATCTTCCGAACCCTTGCAGCCTCGACGAAGACACTTGCACAAGCAATGGCTATGGCTGGCGTCATCGTGTTGGCCATCGTCATCTACACCGGATTTGTAATACCTACACCTCAAATGTCCTCCATCCCATGGTTCAGTTGGATTCGATGGATCAACCCAGTTTTTTATACCTTCGAGGCTCTAATTGCCAACGAATTCCACGGCCGACGCTTCACATGCTCACAGTTCATACCATCATATCCGACGCTGACTGGAGACTCTTTTATCTGCTCCATTCGTGGCAGTGTTGCTGGTGAAAGGACTGTCTCTGGAGATGCTTACATCGAAACCCAGTACAACTATACGTATGCACATGAGTGGAGAAATCTCGGGATCCTCATAGGGTTCTGGATCTTCTTCACTGTGGTCTACTTGGTCGCAACAGAACTCAACTCGGCAACCTCGTCTAAAGCTGAGTTCCTTGTATTCCGGCGAGGCCATGTCCCTCCCCACATGCGCGGCCTCGACAAAAAGCCTCAGGGAGATGCCGGGGCTGGTAGTGTTGCCGTGGCCCACAGGTCCGCCGAATCAGAGAAGGATGCATCTGCTCTTCCCGAACAGCATAGTATATTTACGTGGAGAAACGTTTGCTATGATATACCGGTCAAGGGAGGCCAGCGACGTCTTCTGGACAATGTCTCAGGATGGGTCAAGCCTGGAACACTCACAGCTTTGATGGGGGTGTCAGGCGCCGGGAAAACTACTTTACTTGATGTCCTGGCAAAACGTGTTTCGATAGGCGTTGTTACAGGCGACATGCTCGTGGACGGAAAGCCACTTGACAGTAGCTTCCAAAGGAAGACGGGATATGTACAACAGCAGGATCTGCATCTTTCTACAACAACTGTCAGAGAAGCTCTGCGCTTCAGCGCACTTCTACGCCAACCTAAGTCAGTTTCCAAGAAAGAGAAGTATAAACACGTTGAAGAGGTTATTGAAATGCTTAATATGCAGGACTTTGCTAGTGCTATTGTCGGAACACCTGGTGAAGGTCTAAATGTGGAGCAGAGGAAACTACTAACAATTGGTGTGGAGCTTGCCGCTAAACCCGCGCTTCTGATCTTTCTTGATGAGCCAACTAGTGGACTGGACTCACAAAGCTCGTGGGCTATTTGTGCTTTCCTCAGGAAGCTCGCAAATCATGGCCAAGCAGTGCTCTCCACCATTCACCAGCCCAGTGCGCTATTGTTTCAGCAGTTCGATCGCCTCCTCTTCTTGGCAAAGGGAGGGCGGACGGTTTACTTTGGAGATATAGGAGAGCAGTCACAAACCTTACTGACATATTTTGAGTCAAATGGTGCAAGGCCATGTGGGCCGTCAGAAAATGTAAGTGCTCTAATGACCGTGTGATGCCTTATGCTGATGATGAAAAGCCCGCCGAGTATATGTTGGAAATTATAGGTGCTGGTGCCTCTGGCAGAGCTACCAAGGACTGGCCAGCTGTTTGGAACGATAGCCAACAGGCCAATGATATTCAGAAAGAAATTGATCGGATTCACCAAGAGAGAGCCTCTGCCCCTGAAACTGGCAATGACGATGCGCAGAAAGGAGAATACGCCATGCCGTTCCCCAATCAGCTGTGGCACGTAACCCATCGTGTCTTCCAGCAGTATTGGCGTGAACCTTCCTACGTATGGGCCAAGCTTATTCTGGCTACTGCTGCCTCCTTGTTCATCGGTTTCACATTTTTCAAACCCGATAACAACATGCAAGGGTTCCAGGATGTCCTATTCAGCGCCTTTATGCTCACTTCGATTTTCTCAACTCTGGTGCAGCAGTAAGTACATCGTACTACTTCTTTCGACAACAGGCTAATGAGGTTTCAGGATAATGCCAAAATTTGTGGTTCAGCGGTCACTCTACGAGGTGCGAGAAAGACCCTCCAAAGCGTATTCATGGGCAGCATTCCTTGTCGCCAACGTTCTGGTTGAAATACCCTACCAAATTCTCGCCGGAGTCATTGCCTATGCGTGCTACTACTATCCAATCTACGGAGCCAATCAGGCATCTCACCGACAAGGGCTCATGTTACTCTTCGTCGTACAATTCTACATGTTCACCTCGACGTTTGCCGCTTTGGTAATTTCCGCGCTGCCTGATGCCGAAACAGGAGGTTCCATCGCCACGCTCATGTTTATCATGGCTCTGACGTTCAATGGTGTTATGCAGCCACCCCAAGCACTGCCAGGTTTTTGGATCTTCATGTACCGGGTCTCTCCACTGACCTACCTGATTGCGGGTATCACGGCAACAGGGTTACACGGACGGTCGATTCAATGTTCCAGCGAGGAGATGAGCGTATTCAATCCTCCCTCTGGTCAGACCTGTGGCCAGTACATGGCTCAGTACTTGCAAACTGCTGCGGGGACACTATCTAACCCAGCAGCGACTCAAGGATGTCAATACTGTCAGCTGCAGAATGCCGATCAATATCTTGCAACAAGTGAAATTTGTACGCTCATGTATTCCCATTCCCCCTTTATCTTTCACGTCTGCTAACGAATCTGAAGACTACAGCCAGCGCTGGCGGAACTTTGGAATAGGATGGGCATACGTGGGGTTCAACATCATGGGTACAGTCGCCTTGTACTACATGTTCCGGGTCAAGCACTACAACCCCACTAGTCTGGTCAGAGGCGTGGTACAGGGCGCAAGGGTGGTCTGCCGCGTGTTCAAGAGACGATCCGGACAGACGCCCAAGGGAAGAGAAGCCGAGAACGGAAAATTGTTCTAGGGTTCCAGAAGGGATAAGCATGATCTACATGTGGCGGGATATTACAGTTAGATTTTATTGTCAGCATTTTTGCTGACTGTTTGTCTCGGCATATTTTATGCTTGTCATGAAATATAGCACACATATTTCATATGACCAGCATTTATACTCAGTTCCTTTGCTTATACATATCTGCTACCTCTTTAAGTGAGAAACAATTCATAACATCATTATTTCTGTCCTTGATAGAGACTAATAAGGGAAAATAAAACAAGTAGCGAATCAGATAACGCAGTGGTCCGCAGCTGAAGCATCATTGGTCTAGTGGTAGAATTCATCGTTGCCATCGATGAGGCCCGTGTTCGATTCACGGATGATGCACAGAAATTTCTTTTTGCTTTTATTCGCTTTCCACTGCTTCGTTGCTTCGATTCTTTTCCTTTTCTTTTTTTTGGGGGGGGGGCCCTCTTTCTTTCCATTGACAATACACATATATAGCATCCTCATCTCGTTGAGCTTGCTGCTAGTTTGCGTGGGGCATCGAATCCTCTACCGGGGAGATGGCTTAGCACGATTATATATATATAACCCGCTAAAGCATGATTGGCAATGGTTATCAACCAAGCTAGTAAGTACTACTAATGGAGAGATATAAGAAGAGTTTATTATCCGAGATAATAAATATTAGAATGATAGTACTACTGCAGGGTAGGAATCATGTACAGATGGGAAGATTCCCATATACTATTATCACGGGGATCTAGTAGTTTTTGGAGGTATTATTAAGTGTAATGAACTATGTAATTGTTAATTAAGGTAATAAGTAAGTACTAGACAAGAAGGAATATTCCATCATCAAGGAGGAAGAAAAAAAATCAATCAATCAAACACTAATTGGGGTATTGTGCGGAACCAAACAAATAGGACATGGACGTGAAAACAGACATGGTCGGAGTGATGATGCCTTTGCATCTGGGTAAGAGGAAGAGTAGGTCAGGCTCGTGCAGGGAGAAAAAGTTAGGCATGCCAATTTGATGGCAATGCTGTCGTGAGATAAGTCGGTGGGTAGGTTGGGGTATCGGAGTATTATCATCATTAAGTGAAAAGTTAGTCGGCCGGACGGACGGAAGGATGAGGTGAGGTGAGGTGTGTTGTATGGCGCCGTGTTGTGTTGTTCTTTGTGCAATATCAGACCGTAGATCAAAGTGTGGATAAGGTGGATCGGTCTCTGCAGGTTGTTCATGCAGGCAGGCTGTTAGGTTGCATGTGAGCTATCGCAGCCACGAAACTGTCAGGACACCGATTGTCGCGGGACAACGAGGGCGCTGATAACGTGGGCGGAATTCCATCCCTGGTCGACTAGGGGCACATGTTCCTTGAGCATTCTGCCTAGGTAGACGAATCTCACACGGTGAGTGCGCGGAATCTATACAACCACTAGTGTTAGTATTTCATCTTCAATTCTGTTTTAAGAAAGGTTTGGGAATAAAATGCAGCCGACGTACCCCTGCCTCTTGTTGCACTTTGCGGGCTATCAAGCCGACGTTCATCGTCTTCACCACTGACAGGATGATGTCGGGACCGCCTCTATCGCTCAATCGCGCACGGATGCGGATCAAATCACGTTCGCTAGTCTTGCCCTTTTCGTCCCGACGACGTTCAATGTCATCGGCTATTAATTCATCCCCGGAGGCTTCGTCTGAAGATAGCTTGCCGTCGTCCGTGTCGAAGTCATCGGGCTCCTCGTCGGATCGCACGATATTCTCTGGGTCGCTGACAATGCACTGTGGTAGCCGGTATAGTACACCTTGCTCGTCGTAACAGCCTTGGCAGAGATCACCGGTGGGGACGGTGATGCCGGCTGCATCAATGAAACTCTGCGCTGTTGCGAGATCACCGGCGCGCATCAAAGAGATGGCCGCAGACAAAGCCGCCCAGATCTCTGAACGACCCGTGACCCTAGTTTCGAAGAACTCGGTGCGCTCCTGGTCCAGTTGTGTGCGAGTCCATAGGCGCCGTTTGCTATACCAGACGTGACGACGGATAGGCGCATTGTAATGCTGGCTCAGCGGGAAGTGTTCTGCCCTGATTCGGGATCCGCGCGCCCTGGTAGACAAGTTGCCGGAGGTGAGCGCATTGCTTGTTGCTGCGGCTTGGGGATGAGAGTCTTCGGGGCGGCGCTCTTCGGTAACTACCTGCGCTGCATAGGAAGGACGGCTATTGTCGCGCGATATAGAAAAGCAACAACCCTATAATTTTCAACCATAGTGAGAATTTGAAACCCAGAGTGTCATGTACAAGGACTAGGTGGAAGAGTAAAGAGAGGGTTGGCTGCAGGGAATGGACTTTTGAGATGACGGATAGCAGGATGGGATGGCATGCGACTCCGCATCGGGAAAATGTATAAAGGTGCGGACATGGAGAGATCAAGGAGAACAAGAGGGTGGATCCAAGACTCACCATGTTGAAGAAACAAGCTCAAGCTCCATCAGCCAAAGACAACCAGTCGCCAGAACCGACGGGGGTCAGTGGTCAGTGAGAGTCACTGCAGGGACGCAGTTGGGAGATGACCAGATGAGGAGGGGGGTGAAGAGGGGGGGGGGGTTAGAAGATGTGGTTCACGATGCCGGCGGGGGAGAGCTTATTAGACCAGCCTAGTCTAATGAGCCGTTCCTATCATAAATGGAGGATCCTCCCATCCAGTTATCGCAATCGGTCGTATGACCCGAAGCGGTGGAAACCCAGTTGCTGAGTGGTGGCGGCGATGCGGAGAGCTGCAGCGCAATGGCCTGACCAGCCACGATGCAGAGGCACAGAGTGGAAGAAAGAGAAAGAGAGTGTGTAAAAAAGAAAGAGAGAAATACGGTGACAATGATTGAGGAGAGAAAAGCAATAGAAAAGTACTGCTGATCGACCAGTGCTGAGGTAAATAAAAGGGACCAACCAGCGGGGGAAGAAGAGGAGGATATGACGATGACGGCGCACCGACGTGAGGGGATCAGCCCAAGGTTGACTGGAGGGTTCGCCGTCCTCTTCTTCGTGTTAAGCAAACGGTAGAGAACTTTAAGCGCGGAGCCTAGTTGATATTGCCAACCGATCACTCGCTCCGCAACGTTTCCTGCGGTGTCACCCTGTGCAGGTCTTGTCCAGACCGTTCTTTAGCGAGTTGGAGAGTCGGAGAGTTGGAGAGGGAGAAGTTTGGGGGGGGGGAAGAGGGAAGTTGCAAAGGCGGCTTTCTCTTCCGGCTTCACTTGTATCGGATGTCACAGTTCCAGTCCTCCACTGGGAAAGAAATTGAATAAAAAAGAGAAGAAAAAGGGAAAAAAAAGAAATAAACAATTATTCTACTCTGATTGAGAAATCTACTGTATATTTATTTTTTCTTTTTTTATGCATCCACTGTCAGGTGGATCTCCTTTTTCTTTTTTTTTTTTTAACAATCAAAGAAAACTTTAAGCGGTCGGGTACGTGGAAGGAGTGGGACTTTGCAAATATCCCCAGACGATCATTACGTTTCAAAGTCAATATTGGCTTTGCCTGCAGGAAATACGAAGACTGGGTGTCCATCTAGCTGTACAGGTCCAGGATCCCACCCCCCCAATATATCAATCAGCTCATTTCCTCATCCTCATCTTCATCATCACTGCCAAAGATCGCCTTGAACACCGCCTCGCCCGGCCGCTCCGCTTCTAATGCTTCGTTTCGCTCTGGCTCGACCACCACCGGTGCCCGACTTCCCGCTGGCCCTGATGACGTCGGCGAGGCCGCGTCTGCAGCTGCCAGAGATCCACCGCCAGCCTCAAGCATGAGTTGGTTCATAACATCCCGCGAAACTAACTCTTTCGGCCCGGAAGCGGTCTGGTAACCTGCCGATTGGAACCGGCTCCCGGAGACGGGGGCTTCAGCGCGTCCCGATGGCGCACCAGGATCCATTTGGACATGCTCGGGGGGCCGAACATTGAATCGCTTGCACAAGAGACGCGTCGGGTAGAAAGAGATGCTACTTCGAGTCATTGGGCCAAACATGCCAATTTTCGCTGCCTCCACTGCAGGGTCCTCTGGTTTGGCTGCGGGCTTGCTAAGCAGAGGCTCCGCCGAAGGAGACCCGTCAGACTTGTCGGATGACTCTTTGGGTCCAGAACTGGCAGAGGTAAATCGCGATGCCATAAGTCCAGACATGGGCTTGAAGACCTCCGCCGCTCGCGCAAATTCGTGTAGTTCCGCTGCCCATTCATCTGTAGTTGATCCGGGGACCCGGTCCGGAAGGCTGTCACGGAGTCCAGCTCGTACTTGGAGAAATGTTCGATAGCGGTCCCGTTTGCTTAGATCTTCTGCATACGGCATCCAACCACTGGCTGCTCGTGTGAGTGCCTGAACGGCTACCTGCTTGTCCAATTTGGGTACGAGATCCCACAAATCCTTGCGCTTCTCCGCCTCTGAGAGCTCGTAGCCTTTAGGGGCCTTTTCACCAAGAGCCGGCGGCAGATCGGTCTTCCCCGTAAGCTTCACGATCCTTTCGCGAGCCTCGGGAGTCATCCAATCGAATATGGACTTTCCAGGAAGTTGTGCTTCTCCCAAGAGCGCGGCTCTTGCGGTAGGATCCATTGACGAAGCTTTAGCTGCCTCCGCCGTAGAGACGTAGTTTGAGACATCCCTTTCCTGTGTCGGTGCTTTGCTGGACTTCCAATCCTTGGGGGTCTCTGGTGGCGCGTACTTCTTCTCTTGCGAGGATATTGAGAGGCTTGAAATGCCATCCGCGAGCAAGAATCCTTCCAAAGGCAAACGGCCATCAGAACACTTTCGAAAACCGGCGGCGCCCTTGGCGGCAATGACCCTTTTCGGTATGTATACGGGTTTGCTGCCAATAAGCGGGTTTGACGAACTGGAGAGTAGTCTCGCATCCTCGGCAGGTTTTGCTTTCTTTTTCTTCTTTTTGTCCCCTCCAATCACTCGGTTGTAAGATATCTGTGGGCCTAAGGAATAAGGATCCTCATCATCCGAGCCAGTATCATTCAGCACACCGACGCCAAATGCCCCGCGTCGGGGTTCTTTCGCCTTGGACTGCTTCGGCTTCCCCGGAGCCATTAGCCGCTTTCCGAAGAACGAATCGTTATCCTCATCATCGGACTCGTTCGCTCTGGTTTGCCGAGCGTCTAGGCGGGCCTCTCCTTCAAATCCAAGGCCCTTATGATCGGTTTTATGGATGAAAGCAACCATTGGCGGGTTTTCGGGCGCGAAGAGGTATGTTTGTTCGGCTCCTCCATCACGTTGCAACATACCGTCCCCAAGGTCAGCTCTACGCCGCACCTTGGGCCCAATTCCCTGGCCTTCTCGCCATCCCATCCTCTTCAGAAGTTTCACCCCCATAGTTTCTCCGCTGGTTTTCAGGAGGTCCATCAACCCTCCGCGGCGCGCCATTTCGGCATCTGTAGAACCAAAGCCGGAGTACTCATCGGCGGTTTGCAGTCTCTTGGACTCTTCCGCTTCCCGAACATCCTCCTCATCCATAAAATCTTCTGGTCGCTGCTGTCGAACATCCTTGGCGCGGTTCTGGCGCGAAGACACAAAGGTTGCTGGAGTCCATCCTTCCTTCGACCCGACGGTGTTGAAGTACCTGAAGATGGGCCACCTTTAGTGTGCTGTCCAACGCTATACATGGATCGTGAGCTCACCCGGCACTGAATCCACCGGTGAAGGCACCATGTAGGCGTTTCCTTCCCCGGTCATCGGTCACCTCCTGCTTCCAGATGGGCGCATATGATCCGTCGTCTCGCACGCTATCGTCCAATGGGGGCAATGGGGTTCCGTATAACGCGTAAGGAGACTGGCGGGCCTGCAAGTCTGCCTCAAAGGCGGCGCGGCTCCTTTTACTGGCCATGGTGAAGGTGCAGCTCAAGGGTGCAGCATGGCTGTTTCTGACGTCGACATATCATCAGTGTCTGTATTGTAGATCCTACGTGGATGAAGTGGTCTTACCACTACTTGTATATTTGATGATCCACCTGATGAGCGAACGAATGGAAGAGCACTAGAATGGTGACTTGGGAAGGAAGCGGAAACAAGCAGATGCCGATGATGATGAACGGTGCATTGACAAGAGGCCGCGGGCGGAAGACATGTGACAAGGCGGACATGGAAAAGGCGCGTGCACCGCCACGTTTCTATGTGGCTGGAAACAGTAACTTGCAGCAGTACCTCAAAAGTAAGTACCTTTTAAGCACCTGGCCAGATTTAGTGTTTATGTGTATCACACTCTATTCCTTCATTGTTGTGAATCATGAGATGTGTCAACAGATCTGGGGGAGATGATATTATTTCAGGCTACGTGTGTTGATTTTGTTCAGCTGGACAATTAATTAATAGTTGTATTTGAAGCGACCCCAACAATATATATTGTTAGTGCTACGGGGGTACTACGTACTAACTAAGTTACTAGTCTGGCTGTTCTCGGATTAACCGCAAGATTGAAAATGATGGCCACGGGGGCGGATGACAGATCCAACATCAGCATCCGAAAACAGAACGAGGGCGTCAGATGTCCACTTCTGCGACCGAACGTGCTTGGCAGATAAATCTGGGCTCATCCGACCAACTTAATTTGGACCGTCCAGCAGGTTGAAATTGTCAGGACCCAGAATTGATGATGATGATGATGATGATGATGATGATGAGTCCCTCGGCCAGGTGATCATGCCCATCCGTGCCCAAAACACCGAAAGTCCGACGTATCAAATGGTCTCGTTCCACCGGCGGTCGGAGAAGAAGTAGTAGTAGTTGTCAGGGTCCCTGATCCGACCTGTAGGGGTGAGGTGAGATTGATGAGAGGGGAAAAGGATGGAGGGAACTAGACTATTGCCTGGGAGGCAACCACTATGTGATTCAATATAGTAATATTGTAATCTCGGATGGAGAACGTGCATGCAGCTGTCTAATTTGTACCGAGAGGGAGAGGGGGGAAGAAAGCAGACAGGAATGGAATCCCCGTCGATAGAGAAAACTAATGAAGGGTAAAAAGAAGAGTAAGTAAAGAGGAACAAGAAGTAAGGTAACGATAAATATTTTACAGATGAAGATGAGTGGATGGAAATTGCAGTTTCCATTTCCCCTGCGTAACTCGATGCAATCGCCCTGGTGATTCCGCCAGAATCCATGCAGCAGCAAGCAAAATACGAGAGAAGGTCGCATGGGCATCATTTCCTCAACCCTCCCGCTCTTGACTCTCACGGACGGACTCTCTCACCCTCCTTCTTCTTCTCTTTCCCATTCTCTCTCTCTCTTTAATTATCTACTCAACTCTCCAATTCCCCCCATTCACTCTTCAACCTGAAGAATAATTACATCCTGCATTTTTATTTTTAAAAATAAGCAAGCCAAGCAAGACCCTTCATTTCCCTTCATACATTCTTGGCCTAGCAGAGTGCAGCGGAGATCAGAGACATTATTCGGGATATCCCCTCTTTTTCTAGTGTGTCTTCCGGGAACTGCTATTCCTGGCTGATTTCTGGCTGGACTTGTCCGGTCCTGGTCTGGTCTGGTTTCTGGCTTTCTCCGCAGCTGCCAGCCGCAATCCCAGCGTCAATCCAACAAACACTCAGTACTCAGTACTAAGTAGTAGTAGTAGTAGTACTAGTAGTACTACACCCAGTCCGTTCCCACATTTCTCTTGTCTTGTCTCTTTTCTGCATTTCGCAAAATCCCCTTGTCCATTTCTCATTTTCCTTATTTTCCTTCCCCCCGCCCCTTTCGCTCTTTTTTTTTTTGTTTTACTTACTCACTCTATTGTGAGTGGTATCTATTCACTCCTTTCTCCTATTTCCCTCCCCCCCCCCATCAGCTCCGCTAGTAGTGGTGCCCCGTCCCTTCTACTACTAATACATACTACTACTCCTCCCCTCACACCTACCCACATCTCACCCCCCCTAATTTCTAGGCCTTCCGAAAATACATGGGGGAGGAGTGTGTCAAGCCGTTTCGCTGGAGACTGGACGTACCCACGCAGGCTGTCGCTTCCCTCAAAGTTGCTCCGTCAGCCAACGCCATCTCCCCCACTCGCTCCCACTTGCTCCCCGACCGGTCTTCTGGCCTCCCTTTGGGCTGCATCCCGCCCTCACGCGAAACCCTCCCCTCGATCACCAAGCGATCTTAGGGTGGATGAAGCGCGCTGAATCGTGGTTGGCTCGGAACTCCTCGTCAATTTCCTGCCCATCGTGATGTCCACTGCTGCTCCTCCCACTGCGTCACCCTCCGTCGTCCGAAGCCAGTCCATCTCCTCTCGCTCCTCTTCCCATCGTCCTCCCTCGTCTGATCTCCCTCACCGAACCCGAAGTGTCGCGGTCCGTCCCGCGACTGCCTCCCAGCCATCTCCGCAGCATCACCATCATCATCATCATCATCATCATCACTCGCAGAATCGCTATTCCCATTCCTACTCCAAATCTCAGTCCTATGATCGTCGCCCTCCCTCGAATCAAGCCGTCTTCGACAACATAGCCCGTCGCGATTTTGAAGCCTCCAGGGGTGCCCAACCCGTTCCGTTCCGTCGGGACTCCTCCAGGGAGCGTTCACAGGAGCGCCCCTCCACCTCCTACCGCTCCGAACAACCTTCACACAAACAGCACCGGAATCTGTCGGCACACGGTCATCAACGGGATAGCATCGACATGGCTACCGCGGGGCCCGTCATGGCGGAGGGTGTTGCGGGACATTCGCAGGCTGCTGCCGGCGCCCACCTGCACCCGACCAACTCCGTACAAACAAAGCGTCGCACGATGATCACAACCCCGTCGGGTCAATGGGCTTTGGGTAAAACACTGGGAGCAGGCAGTATGGGCAAGGTCAAAGTCGGAAAGAACATGGATACTGGCGAGCAGGTAAGTGATTCATCTTGTCGTCCTTCGGATTCTTTCCGTTCATTCACTGATTCCATACAGGTGGCTGTTAAGATCGTCCCCCGGCAGTCTACGGAGGAACACCGCAGCTCGCGCGAGGCCGAAAGAGCTGATCGCTCCAAAGAGATCCGCACCGCCCGCGAAGCAGCCATTGTCAGCCTCGTCAATCACCCGTACATTTGTGGTATGCGAGATGTGGTGCGAACCAATTACCATTGGTATATGTTGTTCGAGCTCGTCAATGGGGGCCAGATGTTGGACTACATCATTTCCCACGGCAAGTTGAAAGAGAAGCAGGCTCGGAAGTTCGCCCGTCAAATCGCCAGCGCATTGGATTATTGCCACCGCAATAGTATCGTGCATCGTGACCTGAAGATCGAGAACATCCTGATCAGCAAGACTGGCGACATCAAGATCATCGACTTCGGCTTGAGCAATCTTTTCTCCCCGAGGAGCCTTCTCAAGACATTCTGTGGCAGTCTCTACTTCGCAGCCCCGGAATTACTACAGGCTAGACAATATACCGGACCGGAGGTGGATGTATGGAGTTTCGGAATTGTACTCTATGTTCTGGTCTGTGGCAAAGTGCCTTTTGACGATCAGAGCATGCCCAAACTTCATGCCAAGATCAAGCAGGGTGTGTTTGAGTACCCGCCCGGGCTCACAACAGGTTAGCTGACCCCTCTGCCATCTTCGCCTACGAAATGCTAATACTTCATTGTAGAATGTCGCCATATAATATCGCGCATGTTGGTAACCGATCCCAAGCAGCGTGCCAGTCTGTCAGAGATAATGAATCACCCATGGATGAACAAAGGCTTCAATGGGGCACCCGACAACTACCTCCCATACCGTGAGCCGATACAGCTCCCCTTGGATCCGGAGGTGGTCGAGAAAATGACCGGATTTGATTTTGGATCCGCGGAATACATTACAACACAACTCACCAAAATCATCGAGTCGGAGGAGTATCAGCATGCTGTAAAGGCCATGGCTCGTGACCAACCTCCTCCCAGCCATACCGAGAAGAAGCGCGGTGTGTTCGACTTCTACAAGCGACGAAACTCGGCCAGCAGAGACACACTGTCCGCTCCCTCCGCCGAAGCTGTTCAATTAGGCAACGACCCGGTTAATGCCTATAGTCCCCTTTTGTCGGTCTACTACCTCGTAAAGGAGAAGCTTGACAGAGAGCGGGTCGAAGTTAACCCTGGTGCGCTGGGTGTTCCGCACGCTAGCGGAGACTCCATGCTCCAGATGCCAGACCTTCCTGCGCCAGAGGCCGCTCACACCAACCAATACCACGTTCCTGGAGAGAAAGATACCGGGAGAAGGTCTCGTCCTAGAGCAAGGACCCATGGTGACGATGATCTCAATGATGGTATCAAGAACCTTCATCTGGCCCCACAAGCAGGGCACTCTCCTGCGCCTCCTGCGTCGCAGCCGGAGACTCCGGTGAAGAAGGAGAGCACAGCAGCAGGTATTCTAAGGCGATTCAGTACGCGAAGGACCAAGGAGCGCAGTCGTGACCCGGAACGCGGCAGACTTGGAAGCCCACATACGCCGTCCTTGAATGTCCAGCCCCCTGCCGACTCGGCTTCGCCTCTTTCCAGAGGGTTTAGCGTTAAGAGAACCCGACGCGCGGACCCGTCTCCGACAGCCGTTCACACGGCTGGTAGTCAACCACAGCACCAGGATCTTCTCAAGGCTCCAGGATCCGCCGAGCCGGCCTCGCGGTCCAACAAGTTTTTGGAGAGATCTGCAAGTGTGAACTCGGCAGACTACCGAGCTCGTCGTTCTCGCAGACACGAAGCGGATGCGGCAGCCCAACCACCTCCCACTAGCGGCTCCGACTACGCGAACGTGCAGAAAGAAACCACGCCCGGAAAGGAGGCCAAGTTGACCCGTACACACACAGCCCGGACAATGTCACTGGGTCATGCCCGACGCGAGAGTATCCAGGCTCGGAGGGCAAGACGGGAAGCAACGCGCGAGGCCAACGTTCCTGAGGAGACCGACGCGGACATATCGGGCGCCGGTACGGCACTAGAAAGTGCCAACGAAGGAGAGGACCTCTCCAAGCCGGTGTATCTGAAGGGACTTTTCAGTGTTTCAACAACCAGCAGCAAACCTCTGCCAGTCATTCGGGCTGATATCATCAGGGTCTTGAAACAGCTCTCCGTCGAATACGTTGAGATCAAAGGCGGCTTTAGCTGCCGCCACGCACCGAGCATCGACCTGGACAAAGTAGTAGATGTCGGACCCCCCAGCCCAGACCGTCAGGGACATGTTTCGGGCCATCGTCGCCGCATCAGCTTCGGGGGCTTTTTGAACCATGATGAGCGAGACGAATCGCGACACTACACGCCTCGGGGCCAGCGTCGGACTCGTGCTCCACCGGATCAAAGTTTCGTGACAGACTCTGAAGGCCCCGACGAAGATGATGGCTCTCGGGACCATCGTGACAACGTGGTGGTGGGCGAACGTGTCATGGGAGAGACTACAACCCGGGTGCAGAGTGATACGGGCGAGAACCTGGTCCTCCGGTTCGAAATTTTGATTGTCAAGGTGCCGCTGTTCTCGCTGCATGGTATCCAGTTTAAGAAGGTTGCAGGCGGTATGTGGCAATACCGGGAAATGGCCAAGAAAATCCTGGACGCTTTAAGACTCTGAGAGTATTGTGAATGGGGCGCCTGCACGCAGATTGCATATTATTTTACTCGGGCCAATCGGCTTGAACCATGAGCATTTGCATGAGCATCACGTGTTTCTTTTGTTCCTTTTCCTTATGTTAACTTTCGGTCTGCATAATCCTTGAGCTGGCTCATCGTCCCCGGTAGCGGTTTGTCGTGGTGTACATTAGAACCGAGCAGGATGCATCATGGATTTCCGTCAGTTTTCTCCCCCCCGAGTCTTTGAACCCTTGACCTGTTGTATAATTTCTGGGCTGTTTTCCTATGTTAGAGTTCTGTCTCTCTGCAGGACTATGGAGCGTTACCATGCGTAGGAATGTCGGCCCTGTTTCAGTCACATTGAAGGTTATGATATAGGTAGATTTGATGGCAGTCATAATACTCTGGTTCGTTGGCCATTTACCTGTGTCAGCGTTTACCTACAACTACAAAGCAACTCCTACAGTGTAGAGACCTGAGACCGGAGACCTTGCCTGATGTAGATTAGGATGCTTGTACTAATGTTCTAGAGTTCTGGTACCAATTCCGTGATACGCTATAGTAGCAGATGCTAGCCAAAAGTAAGAACCTTCTAAGCAAACAACATCTACTGTCTTGTCAAGCCTTGATTTCATACTCATCTGTATATAGTTTGTTTGATTGTCCACCTTGAACAATACACCACTAGTACATAGTCTCGATCGGCTAAAAAAATGCAATCTTACAGACCCACTAAGTTCATACCCCAAAGCTCATCTCATCTACGGAATATGTCGATCAGAAAGCGGAAGCCAGATTATGCACTTGCCAGTAGCCAGTTGGCCCCTTTAGCGTGATGCCGTAGGGTTTAGCTTGGTTAGTCTAGAGACCGGAAAGACGCTAAGAGGCGAAGTAAAGGGTGTTGTGCAGTGTCTAAGTACTATTGCATAGCACGGTTCTTTCAATACTAGATCAATATACCTTATCTTGAAGTCCATGTAAGTTTGCACAGTTCTCGAGGACTTATCAGTGCCAATTGTCTATAGCTAACCATGAACCATGTTTCAACATGATTAGTCATAATGCGGATGACATGCCAAGAAATAATGCCACAGGCACAAAAAGAATTAAATAAAGCCAGTTTGAACCGCTCTACTGTCTTTAATAGAGTGTTTATTTAGGAGTAATTTATCAGAGATGATTTGGCATATATTATTCTATATATATATATGGTTTTATTACCAATTTTTGAAGTTTTGTGGTATGTGCTGGTATGATGCTTTTTTGCCTGCATTTGTTGTTTTGGCTGGGCGGAACTATGCAAAGATAAGACGGTTGGCCCCCTTCTATGGTTTCTTTCTCAATACTCACCCTTATTGGCCAGATCAGAATTGCTCGATTTATTCAGCAAGTGGTTTTCTGATACCACGAATTAGCATAGCAGCATAAGTATAAAACAAGGTATGATTTAGGTCACATCTCCTTCATCTTTGTAGTTATTGAAATATTAATTTGTCAGTTATATTGATTTAGAACTGTAGTGTTTGATAGCTAATATACTTAAACTAATTAATTTATAAATCACCTGACTTATAATTGCCTAAAATAGCCTAGTCTTATTTTTAATTCACTCCTTAACTCCAAGACTTGATTTTATTCTAAAGATCATCTTCAGCAGCCACCAGTCTCATGTCTCCTATCAGCGTGTTTTTCTTGTGATAGTTCTATACCCATGATTTTAAAGTCTACCTGAGCACCTGTTAACTCTCCCACCATGGTTATCGATCTTACGCTTGACTCGGACTCCGAAGAGAGGAATGAGGTGAGCTGCTCTTTTACGCATTTCCGCTCTTTCATGGTTGGTTGGTGTTGTATTATTTGGTGTTGTTCGTGCGGCTAGTTGTCTATCTAGTTTGTGAGCTAGCGGCTATACTGCATGCATGGATGTTTCTTGTTGTGAAAACTTATACAATAGCCACAACATCTCTTGTTTTATTTTCTTTTTTAATCTCTCAAAACAATATCTGACAGTCTCACACTTGATTGATTTTCTGTTATACTTGAAGTTGAGACATGTTCTTGTGACCTTAACAATTTCGCTTCACTTCATTCACTGCACCACTCCTGCTATAGTTCGTGAGAGGATCAGCTGACTTGATACATCCAGAATCATGTGCCATCGTCAGCACCACCTCTTCAGAACAACATCCCCAAGTCCCCTTCCACTCTTACCCACCGCCCTGCCTCCTCAGTTCCCTCGAAACGAAAATCTGAAGATGTAGATGAACTACTGGCATCCTTTCTGCCCCGCCGGCCGCAGTCACAGCCGCGGTCTTTTCCCCAACCACAACCGACTAACCGGGCCCATCAGCACGCCATCTCTATCGAGATAGAGGATGACGATGAAGCCGAAGATGTCAAGCCTGTTCAAAACCACCGCAGAGTCACAGCCGCTCGATCTTCTTTCTTCAACCCTAACACCATTTCCTCTGCTGGCAAGGAAAACAGACCTCTGCAGATCAAGTCTAATGCAACATCTACCCGTTCATCTTCACCCCTCACTCTTGCAGCCACCAAGGCCGAACCCCGCCGCAGTCAAGACGGGGATGAAGACAGAAAGCAAAGTTCCCTCTTAAGCACTCGCCGGTCCCTCTCCTTCCAAACCCCCAGTCCCGGCCCTATCTCCCTCAGCGTAGTCATCCCCTCGCCTTCTCGGCGCCAGCAACAGGAGCTCGATTCAGCCGACGTGATCTCCGTCCCATCTCCAATCGGCCTCTCCGAGGACTTCTACCCAACCGACGCGTACGAGAAACGCGCCTTGAAAGGTGCATACCCCGTGGCCCGGAAAGTGGATCGAGCAGCCATTCCATTCACTATCGGCGCCCCTGGCCCACTGCTCACATCCAAACCGGACATCAGCGCCCAGCTGCACCAAACCCTGCAGCAGAAGCTCGCGAAGATCCGAGGCCCTAAAGTAACCTTTGCATCTGGGGACCAGCACCAGCTAGCGCAGTTCGCAGCCAACTTTGAGTTTGTGAATACATATAAGCTACGACAAGGGGTCACACCTGTCCCAGAGGAGTTCCTTGCGGGATGTAGCTGTGACGGATTCTGCGATCCGGCGAGATGTCTCTGTCTCAGCAAGGAAGAGGAGACGAATGATCCAATGGTGCCGTACAAGCGGGCTGACGATGACGGGCGATTGCTGGTTCTTACACCGGAGTTCCTGAAACGAAAGGTCATGATCTACGAATGTAGTTCGAGATGTGGATGCGATGAGCGCTGCTGGAATCGAGTAGTACAGAATGGCCGGACAGTCCGACTGGAGATTTTCTGGACCGGCAACCGAGGATTCGGTATGATCCATTCCCAGCTCATAGTCCATTTACACAAATCCTCCATATATATACTAACGAAGAAAAAAAAAAGGCCTCCGCTCCCCCGACCCCATCCGCGCAGGCCAATTCATCGACTGCTACCTAGGGGAAGTAATCACCAAAGAAGTAGCCGACATCCGCGAAGACGCGACATCTCAAAAAGGCCCATCATATCTATTCAGTCTCGACTTCCTCGCCACCGGCGAAGACAGCAAATACGTAATCGACGGACACAGATTTGGCAATCCAACACGGTTCATAAATCACTCGTGCAACCCGAACTGTCGCCTGATTCCCGTGACTCGCAACCACGCCGACGATTACCTGTACGACTTGGCTTTCTTTGCGCTGAGAGATGTACCACCCATGACGGAATTGACGTTTGACTATAATCCCGGCTGGGAGAAGGTTAGGAAGGTTGACCCGAATGCTGTGCCTTGTCTTTGTGGGGAGAGTAATTGTCGTGGTCAGCTTTGGCCGAATCAGAGGAAGGCGAAGAGGGGGTGATGTTCCTTCTTCTTATTCTTCTTCTTTTTTTCTTTCATTCACTCACTCTGCAATCTTTCAGCCCTCTTGTCGATTTCGTATTATGATATGATATGATATCATATGCATCGCAAGGGAGTGCGCGTTGAGTCGATGATCAGCAGCATTGATTGCATTCTTGTTGTTGAGGTCCGGTACATGCGATTATCCTTTTTTGCCCCCATCACGGTGTTGTTAGGCATCTTCCTGCGTTCTTGTCTCGCATTGCACATTGTTCTCAGGGGAAGGGTTCAACATACTCCATTGCTTTGTTCAAACTTTTACATGTGAATTTCCTCGTCTTGATATCAGATACCCCGGTGGTTTCAATTACATCTTCTTTTCTTTCCCCTTTTACTTTCTATCATCTGAAATTTACGGAGTTATGTGTGTGTACACTGGTCGCATTCAGAGAAGTAACAAGTGGATAGTGTATTTTCAGCATTTTGTTCTATTCTATCTCATGCTGAGATGCAAAAGATAGGTAGACTGAAACAAGCAAGCAAGCAAATTGAAGGAATAATGAAATGTTCATTATGTATGCTAATCTGCAAGATATGCAGTTGCAATGTCCTGAATGATATGTCCATAGCAGGAGATATAATCAGATAATCAGATTCTGAGAATCATTATCAGAAGATAGAGAAATAAAGTAAAGTAGCAATCAAACACACAACAAACCCTCTAAACAAAAATAGTTCAAAGTAAACTCCACTGCACTCCACTCCATACAAACAAAACAAATATCACAATTCACAAATCACAACTCACAAGGTATCCGCCAATTCCAATTCAATCAACAAAAATCAAGTAAGCCCGCTTAAACCCAAGCAAACCAAACAACCCTAATTACTCCAATCATCCCAAACCCCAATACCATCACCCATCACCAAATAAACAATCCATAAACTAATCCTCGAGATCAGAATCAACCCCTCCCCTCCATAACCTCAAAAATCCCGCCCATCACAAATCTCGGCTGGGAACCACTCCTCTCCAACACCCCGCCATCCATCGACCCAAAAACACTATCATCCATACTATCCAACGCAAACCCCACCCCCAATAACGGATCCACGGGCCTCGGCTCCATTAAATCCAATCCCAGCCGCTCAATCTTATCCTCATCGGCACGGGACCGCTCCTCCGAGAGGGCCAAATCGACCTTCGAGGGCCGTCGCCGTAGCAGCATCATCGACATGGATGAGGGGCGGTGGTGATGGTGGTAGTACCGGAAGGGACTTTGGCTGCGGCTGCGATTATTACTACTTCTGCCACAGTAGTAATCTTGGCCATAGTTGTAGTCGGAGAGGGAGGTGGTGTTGAGGCTGCCGATAGCGTTGTTGTAGTAGTGGTTATTGTTGAAGCGACGGCGGCGGGGAACGGGAGAGGAAGTGGGCGAGGAGGTGGGACTGGCTGTTGTGGAGCTGAGTGGAGTTGGGGTGGTGGATGGGATGGAGAGAGTGACGGAGAGGGATGGGGAGGATGGACCACCGCCGCTGCTGGGGTTGGCATTAATGGCGTTGGAGGTGGTCGGGGGGTGTGGATGGGGTGGAATTATTGTTGATGTTGCGTGTGTTGAGGTGGACATTTTGTTGTTGCGGTCGGATGGTGATGATGATGATGAAGAAGAAGGGAAAGAAGTGTGGAGGTGGAGGGGGGTGGGTTGGTTAGGGCGCATTTTTGGTTTGGTTGTGAGGATAGATGAGGATAAGTAGATAGATAGGTGGAAAGGAGGATGAGGATGTTCTCTGGGGGAGAGAAAAGAGAAAAAGAGAGAATAATAATAATAATAAAGTAAGATGGATAAAATAAGATGAGATGATGTCAGGTGGGTGCGGGCTGACCGACAATATGAATAATAAAGTAATTAAGATTGACAGATAAAAATCAATAATGTATGGGATGAGATTGGATGTTGATTGATTGAATTCAATAGAACAGAGAGAGAGAGATTCGGAGGGAAAATTAGATCGAGTCAGGTGGTCCCCTCGGGTTTCGCCTCACCAAAGCAAAGCAAAGCAAAGCAGGCGAAAGAGAACTTCCCAGATAATTATGTGGGGAGACAAATTAGGATCAGGTCAGGTACAGTAATTATCAAAAGCAAATATTAGTTGGTAAGTAAGTAAGTAAGTGACTGAAGAGTTGAATGACGACAATAACGTCAGAGGAAGGAGTCAGTCACGCCTCATTGTAGTATCAGGAACTGAACAAGAAACAGCCAGAAGTAACTAGAGCTAGCAACAGCAGGAGTAGTTAAACCTTCTTATAACTACAGCCCAGGCAAGAGGCCAGTTAGTAGGGGCTCCATTTGCATTCAAATCATACAAAAGCGGCAGGTAAGGAAGGAGAAAAAAGGGAAATGGAATTAAGTGTAAAAAGTAGACTTGTGGACTGGGGATAAAGATGATTGAACGAGGGCGACTCAGGAAGTCGCCGAACGCAGTGACGCTTTCCCTTTTCCTCGCCCCCCTCGTTGCTGCATCCGGCCATCTAAACTATCTTTCTTATCCCTTCCGACGGACCTCTCCTGCTTTGGCTTTTTTTCCCCACTCCCCTTCTTTTCCGCCTGCGGACGTTCTGTGTTTTTTCTCCTTCCTTGTCTTTCATCCTTATACATACATACGTGTTCGTGCCTGCTTTCTCCCTACATCCGGATTTCAAAAACCCAACCTTCATCGTTGCCCAATCCGGTAATGCCAAGCATCCTGGGATGCCAAGTTCATTGCGGAATATTAACCAATCAATCATCATCTTCTTCTATCTATTTCCCTCTTTCTTTGTACTTTTTAGCTAGTAAAAAGGAAAAAGAAAAAAGGAAAAAAAAAGCTGTACACATACACATACACATGATGTAAAACGCATGGATGAACTGACCTGCGCTCGGAACCAAGCAACGCAGTGGTTTCGCCCACACGCCCCCGCTATGCAAAACATCTAGTCTCGTAGCGATCAACAACTCCCTCCCCCTCTCTCTTCCCCGCTCTTCACTCACTGACAGATCACACAGACCAGCAAATGGATCACCCAAGAAACAAAACAGACAGACAGTAGATGATAGATGCATCGTAACATCGAGAACGGCACGGCAAGTAAGTATGAGGAAAGGGATAAAAGCAAGACACGCCAAAAAACAGGAGTAAACCAAGAAACGAAAAAGAGAATCAACCCAGAAACAAAACCAAGGGTGAAGATTTGAAATCATCCCCATGTTCACATCTCTAATAAAAATCAAGATCGTGGCAACATCGCTCATATATCAACCAACTCGTCTATTCCCTCACTCCCCCGATCGCCGTCGCTGTGTGAAGCTGCGTCGGATACTCTCTCCCCACACCGACTCGCCCAGCGACTGCATCACATCGTTCACGTTCATCGCGCTGTTCTGTCGCGAATGCGCCGGGCTGGTCTGCTCATCGTGCACATCTCCCCCACTGCCGTATGACGACGTCGTGCCAGCCCGCTCCCGCAGAGGCGACAGCGATGGGCTGATGCTGGACCATTCCGTCGCCGGGGAGTTCAGGACAGAGATCCGACCCAGCGGACTGGTATCGATAGGCGGCAGCTGGTACCGTGTGGCTCGCCCGGTCGGGGACGTCGGGGACAGCATCGGCTGCTGCGACGATTCTTCGCCGGTCAGCGCGTCGCGTGCTTGTTCTCGTGGCCCCTCGGTCGCCGCCGGTTCATCGTGAGATCCGTCATCAATGAAGATCTCCGGCACCGAGAACTGAGGAACACCACTCATCCGGGCCGATTTCTTATGCTCAACCCGGCGCCGGAACTCGCGAGACCAATACAGTGTGTCAAAGAAGCCGATCACCGTCTGCCGACGGATAGTTTCCTCGACACGCTGCAGTCGCGCCCGTCTGCGCAAGAACTCTTCCAGTCGCAGACTCTTACTGTCGCTGATCACGTTGTAATGGGCCAGGATCATGAGACAGGAGTGGAACGAGATGCCGCGCACCGGGTCTGCCGACACAAGTACCTCCTCATAGAACGCGTTCAGCCGTTGTCGGCGGTTGCGCACCACGTCCGTTGGGATCTGTCGAAGGATTCTGGCCATCTTGTCCAAGTCCAGCCCGTCGACCACTCTCCGATGCGCAAGCAACGAGTCGCGCTTGTCAACCCGGCACTCTTCCATGATTTGGCCGATAGTGAACTCGCCATCGTAGATCCGCATCGAAAACACCCCCGAGAGCTCTCCCAACAGTCGCGGGAACTGTTCTTTGGTGATATACCCGGTTCCGTCCGGGTCATATGTAGCCCACGCATGCTTGAAACGGCGGATATCCTCGCGACTAATTGCATAGAGTCCACTGCTCTTCTGGTACACGTACGAGAAGCTCTCAAAGATCAACGACGTGAACAAGGAAACGAAGAGGTACATGCTAATAATGTTCCAAGCAATAAAAAGTGTTCGAGCCCACGGCGCACTGCCACAGTCGTCCAAGAAAAAGTTACCGTCGTAGGTGCACATTGGAGGACTCATCGTGGCATAGTCTTCCATGATTTCGTTCCAGCCTTCTCCACAACTCATCCGGAAGAGCAGCACCAGCGCCTTGGGAACATCGCGGAAGTTGAGGTTGTCGGTCTCTTGTGAACCAAACTTCGTGAGACCAAAGGCTTGGTTCATGGCGATCGCGAATACCAGGAAGAGGACAAACCACGTGGCAATGAGGTTTCCGATCGACGTCAGACTCGCCGCGGCAGTTTTGAACAGCTGGTCAAGTTGGTTGTTTCGGGGAATAATAAGAAGCGTGATCGAGACCAAGAAGAGCTTGTTCAGTTCGTTGATCACCTGGCTCGACGAGACGAATCTCAAGATCGTTGTTATGAACGTTCCGGAGACAGAGAGCAACGAATACACATCCCATGAACTCCGGCTAAACCGATGCCAACCTAAGCCAAGCATCCGGATCAGAACATTGGCAATGTAGACGAAGTTGAAAACAAAGAATATGATCTCTGTACCATATTAGCGGAATACCTCGTCTGAAAGCCATAGGAAGAACAACGCACCTCGGGTTTGATCCCATACCTCCGGCTCGGGGTAGTATTCCAAGACCAGCAACAAGAGATGAAGTGAAAGGATGAAAGTCACGCATCTTGCCCATGGACCATGTTTCTTCACGGCGACTCGGTAACTCCACATCTTCCATTGGCGGCTCTTATTGTCGAAAGAGCGCTTTGAAGGGGAGATTTGCCGGAGCAACTTCCTCAATTCTAGCCATGACCTCTGTTCAGCAGTAAGATACGCTACACCAGTCTCTTCTGTGTAGTTTCGCATGAACACAGATACGAACAGCGTCAGGACGAAGACGGCACCAAGCAGGTTGAAGATGATGAAGAAGAGCCCATTCTCCGGCGCAACATAGTCTTGCGGCTGCGTATCCACACCAGTAATGCTCATAGCACTGTCCTGCACGTCGATCCATCCTTCTTGAGAGACAATTTGGAACAAAATGAAAAGGGAATCGCCAAAGTTGTCAAAGTCGTAGTAGGAATTGTCGGCCACTCGCGGAGAGAGAACATCCCAATTGAAAGGCGTGTTGTTGTACTCACCAATGCACTGATCCAGGCTTCCTGAAATGTCGCCATCATTGCATGACACCATTCGTCCGGCGAAAAGATTCACTCCATAGATAGCGAAGGGGATCAAAAAGCTCATTGAAACAGCCGCGGCCTGCCAAGCGCATTAGATCCTGCCCCTCAGGGCTCTAAACGGGCGGGCGGAACTTACAGCAATGACCTTCCATCCTCCAACAATGATCACTGAATGGAAAGTATTCTTAGCACTGTCACTGACATTCAAGAGCCTCAAAGCCCTCAGGGCTTTAAACGCTCCAATCGCTCGGGTGACGCCCCAATCTTCGAACAGGGATCCACCGACGCTGATCCAAAGTGTGATCAAAACTACACCATCAAGAAAGCCCCAGGAGCCACGAAAGTACGCATTAGGCGTCCAGAAAAACCCGTCCGCTATGACCTTGATGATAGCTTCTATGGTGAACAAGACCGCGAAGCCCATGTCAGTGTAGGTAAACCAATCCCTGTTCGTCGTAAAGTGGTTCTTCTGGTAGATTGGTGTGGTTATGCAGGCCAGCAACACCATTGCGACAATGGCCGCGTAAATGAAGGCGGAAAATGAATACCAGACAGGCTTGTAAGGATCTACACCCTCCACTCGTTGAACTCCACGGCCTGGCCCCACGATACGCTGGCATAGCTTTCGAACGGGGTGGTCAGGCGCAAAGATAAACAGTGACTTGTTGTAATTGGGGTGTCGCATAAGATACTCTCGTTGGGCCCTTTTCCTCTGTTCAGCCGCTGAAACAAATTCCTTGGCCATCGTCCTTGGGTCCAGCTCATCAAATGTGCGCGGGATATCCAGCTTGGAATAGAAGGGATTTGGCTCTCGACGCATGATTGACGTGGTAATCTTCGTCCAGATCCGCGAGAATAATCCTGGCTGGGCTGTCTCGGCTGTGGCTGACTGTTCTAAAGGGACGTTGTCTCCCGGCCGGTTCTCAGGTGGTTCATCCTCATCAAGGAACTCCTGGACCACGGCATCCTTGAGCAACATTTCCAGTGCTGCTGGGCCATGATCGAGAGGATCTTTATACCGGCTCGAGTCCTTGCCCAGCTTGAAGATCTTGGAAAGAGACAAGTTTCCCTGCGAGGCCATGTTGACTTGTTTCTGCTGCAAGAACGCTTTAACCTGCTGAAGCCGTTTCTCATCCTCCGAGACATCGAAACTTTCCTGGATGACTGCAATGAACATGTTCAAGACAATGAAGTTGGCCAGGATGAACCATATTATCAAGAAAGCCGCAGATATCCAAGCGGTGTTGTATGACACTGTGTACGTGGTAGCGTTATACAAGATATCCGTCCAATTCTCGCTCGACAAGATTTGGTACATCCCAAGAAAAGAGTTGTAGATGTCGGCAAAGGTGATGATTATGGTATCGCCATCTGCGTCTTGCTCTGGAATTTGCCCACGAAAGAGCTGAGTTGCGAAGATGGAAGCAAGGAACGTAATCAAAAAGACAAAGAAGATCAAGTTCAGCAGACCAACTGCATTGCGAAAGACGACCATAATGAGATCCCTGGTCACCTTGAACGCGAGCACGACACGATATACTCGAAGAATTTGGAAGAGTGTA